CCCAGGGACCAGGTCTTGGGTTGATTCAAGGTCCCAACAGGCCTCATGGCCGGCCCTGCTCGCTGCTGAGCCAGGTGAGACGGTTCCCAGGGCGTCGAGCCCCTGTGCCCAGCCTTCCGACCTGGAACCTGGCCAGCTGGACTCAGCCTTCTGTACAGATATCCCCCGCAGAGGATGGGGGAGGGCGGGGAGGAGGAGGGCAGCCCCCCTCCCAAACCCGTTGCAGAAACCCATCCCTAGCCGGGCGGTGGTGGCACACGCCTTTAATCCCAGCACTCGGGAGGCAGAGGCAGGCGGATCTCTGTGAGTTCGAGGCCAGCCTGGTCTAGAAGAGCTAGTTCCAGGACAGGAACCAAAAAGCTACAGAGAAACCCTGTCTCGAAAAGTCAAAAAAACAAAACAAAACAAAAACAAAAACAAAAACAAAATCCCTGCTGCTGTTTGTTCCGCTCTCAGGTAGTGGGGTCCGGACACTCTGGCCAGGCCTCCAGAGGACACAGAGCCCCGGACCACACCTCAGTGCCCTGGCCACTCCTTCTATGTCCCCTACAGTGACCCCCTCAGACCAGTCACATCTGAGCCTCAGTTTCCCCCCAGAGGAAGCATATTTAATAGCCTTGAGTCCAGTCTCTGCAGAGTGTTATTTAGTGCCAACTGCACTCCTGATGATCACCTATGTGCCTGGCACGCAGGTATTTAGGTGACTGGCATACCAGGATTGCCCAAACAAGGGTGCTGAAAACGCCGTACAGTAAGAATTCACTTAACCCCAGGACGTGTCAACCCCTGTCCCCACCCCTTGGTAGGACACCTGGGTGGAAGTGAGCCTCCGGCCTGCCATAACGCATGGCAACCCAGGTGCAGGTTCAACATGCTTGTCATTCGCCAACCAGAAGTAACAGCTGCCCCACAGTAGGACGGGCCGTGGTGGGGGGGCATGGGGACAGAAGTGAAGCCCTGGGACTGTTACACAGGAATCCAGGCGTTTCTGTACCCTGAGAACCCTGTGTGAGGCCTCAAGAGCCCCATCTCCCTCGTTCCAGGGCTTAAGAACCTGGAGAATGATGGTCACTGCTTCTGACACCTGTGCTTGGTCCCCCTTGACCCACGGGAAGCCAAGGCAGGGAGATCAGGAGTTCAAGGCCAGCCTGGGCCAATTAAAGGCACAAACCTTAAAAATAAAAGTGGACTGGGGGCGTGGTCAGGGTGGAGCCCCGCCTAGAATCCCCACTGAGGGCTGGGGGCGTGGTCAAGTCAGACTGGGTTTCTCAGAGGTGAGGGGTTACTTTTCCTGAGAGCAGAGCTGCATCTTGAGCCCGCCGTGGGGTGCCATCTGCCCCTCACCCCTCAGCCTGGTGCCCGGTGGTCCCCAGAGGTGGAGCATTAACGTCACCGTGTCTGTCCTTAGTTCCCTTAGGATCTTCAGCTTTTCCCTCTCTGGGAGCTGCCTCAGCCACAGCGCTGCTGCGAGTCTGAGTGCCAGCTTCCGCCCCTGGGGCAGCCCTCCAACTTCCTGCCGTGGCTGCTTACCTCAGTGCCAGCCCCTGCCCCGCCTGCGTCCTCCAGGACTATCGGATGTCAGGACAGTCCACACATGGGGATACTGAGGCACAGAGCGTGGCTTTCAGGTGGCAGAGCCACAGGGGCTGGGGCCAGGGGAGTGAAGGCCCCATGGCATCTGGCCGTCATGTCAGCACCTCCTGCCTCAGTTTCCCTATGCGGGGTGAGACGCCAGGCGGACGTGCCTGGAGCTGGCGAGGGGGGAACCCCGGAAGAGCGCTGGGCGAACCCCGGCGTGTGCGGGCAGCTCTGGGGCTGCAGGCGGCTCTGGTGCCTACGCCCAGGCGTGTGTGCCAGGCCCGCCGGGCAGCAAGGCCAGGAAGATGTGCTTGGCTCAGCTCAGCTGCCTCCTTCGCTGCAGAGAAACGTGAAGAGAAGAGGGTGCAATTCCTCTCCTGCTCCAGACACCCCCAAAGCTGGAAGTTCTACTAGCTGTCTAACTCGAGTCGTCGTCCCCCCACTTTCCAGGTGGTTTAGAAAATTCCAGAGGGAGGAGAGGTCTCACAAAGGAGGTCAGAGAGTCCTCGCCTCCTGGCCCACTCAGTTTCCCCGTGTGAGCCAGGGTGATTTGCTTGCTTCAAGCAGCCAGAGCGCTGGAGAACACCCGGCCTCAGTTTCCCTATCTGGAAAAGGGAAGCAGTGGTGCTGGCGAAGCCGGGCGCACTAGCTGACACCCCTCCTCAACCACAGGGCAGATTCGGCCCAGCTTCCGCTCAGGGAGGCTCAGAAGCAGTGATCCCCAGAGTCCACACCGTTAATCCTTGCGCAAGTGAGGGCAGCACCAGAAACAAAGATGAAGTCGGCGACGTCGGGGGCAGCTGCCAGCGCGACCAATCAGAGGCCGCGGAGCTGCACTCTGGCCAATTAGAAGCTAGGTCAGAAGGACCCCAGCCATTAGCCTCCCCCGAGGATCCGGGTCCCGCCCCCAGGTGACAGGCATGGGGAGGAGCTCGTTCGCAGAGCTAGCCTGAGGCCGGTTCCCTGCCAGACGCCCAGTTCGGATTCATTCACACTGAACTCTGCTTTTGAGTCGAAAAGGCTCACGTAGCCCAGACTCCAACTGTGTAGCCCGAGGATGACCCTCCAGCTGGGGTGATGGGGACCCCTCTACCCAGACCTGCGGGTCATCTGAGGCTGAGGGAGGCTGAGGACTGTGCTGGGGGACTGTAGCCGGTGATAGCTCATGCGCCCACCATTCACTCCTGAAACACGTGTGCCCACGCCTGCCTCCCCAGCCGCGAGGCTCACATACAAAGATCTGGAATTGAAGGTCAGCCTGGGCTACACAGTGCATAGGGCAGCCTGGGCTACACAGTGCATAAGGCAGCCTGGACTAAGTGATCAGAACTTGTCCCCCAAACCGAAAGTCAATAGAGAAGGTTCCGGGAATGCGGCTGCGGGGTGCTTGCAGTGCGTGCGCAGTTAGAAAAGTCCTTCAACCACTGAAGAGTTTGACCTCCCACCCTGTTGGTCTTCTCTTTTTGTAGTAAAGAGTTTGAAGGTCACAGGGTCTAGCCAAATTCGAACCCCTGGCCCAGCAGTTCTTTGCTGTGAGACTTTGGTGCCATTTGTCACCCTCTCTGTAAAGACAGAATCAACCTGAAACTTGGTCTTCAGCCCAGGCTGGCTTTGAACTTAAGCTAATCCTGCTGCCTCAGGCTTCCCAGTGCTGGGATGACAAGTGTGTGTCACGACCGGGGCATAGTTGAGGGACCCAGGAATCTCCTGCCTCAGACGTGAAAATATTTACTCTCTGGTTTTTGCACAACAACGACAGAAAGTTGACTGACCTCAGAACTAATGCGCCATCATGGAGAAGGCATCTCGGTGCCCAAATGAGTTGGTATTTGAAAGGCTCAGGCCTGTCATCCCAGTGCTCAGGAGGTGAAGACAGGAGGATTGGGAATTCAGGGTCATCCTTAGCTACCCATGGAGTTAAATGTGTGGTCTCATGGCTATCCTAGGCTACATGAGACCCTACCTTTAATAAATACATAAAGCCTGGTGGCGGTGGTGGCACACTCCTTTAATCCCAGCATTCAGGAGCAGAGACAAGCAGATCTCTGTGCATTCAAGGCCAGCCTGGTCTACAGAGCGAGTTCCAGGACAGCCAGGCTACACAGAGAGAGACCCTGTCTCACAAAAACAAATACACAAATAAAAATGAAATATCTAGAAAGGGCTTAACAGCAAAGAAGCGAATGCGCTCTGCGGACACAGTTACCCCACCGGCCCCGTATACAGAGGTGCAGACTGAGGCCCACGCCATCACCGGGGACAGCAGAGCACATTGCCCTCCACAGTGGGCGGCGCCGCCCCACGGTTGTACCCCGACTTGTTTGCACCCCGCTGCCCTCCGCTCCAGGCACCCCACCCTGTCTGTGCCTGCTGGGATTAAAGCTCTGTAGAATCTACTTTGGCCTAGGACTCACTCTGTAGCCAAGGCTGACCTTGAACTCCTGACCCTCTGGCTTTACTTGGCGTTGGGGGGGGGTGGATTGAGCCAGTGTTCTGCCCTCTCTGGGTGATTCTAGGCTGGGGGTGTGCCCCACCTGACCACGCCCCTTCTTACCCCCTCACTGGAGGGATTCTGGGCGGGGCTCCATCATGACCCCGCCCATGACCATGCCCTAGACCCTCACTGGGGGATTTTAGGCAGTGGCTTCTTCCTGACCACGCCCCCAACTTTGTTTTGATTCAAGCCTCTTCACCCTTCCGACCACGCACCCCGCTGCTGGTCTTGAGCTTGCCATCCTCCTGCCTCCAGCCTCATCCCTGCCTGGCTGCTCCTCCATGCCCGCTTCTCTGCTCTGGCTTCTGTCCAGAGATTGGGGATCAGACTGGGATTAGTCAAGAAGGATTAGAGGTGAAAAGAGAAGGGGGCGGCTCCTAGCCATCAGGTGGAGAAGTGCCCCGCCCTCCGTCCTCCCCACCAGACACCACCACCGAGCCCTAGAGATGGCAGTGCCGGTGGTGCGCTGCTGGCTTCTTTATGCTGTTCCACCTCAGGGAGGTGAACCACCCTCTCTGAGCCCCAGGGACTCCGCTGCACGGGAGAGCGGGCTTGGAGTGGGAAGTAGGTCGGGAGTAGCGGGAACCTCCCTGGGGAAGGGATGAGGGAAGGTAACGCGTGTCAAAAGCCCTGAGCAAGTGCAACTTCTAGGTCAGGCTTCTGCCCGCAACCCGGGGCCCGGGTGAGCGGCGGCGGCGGACGGCGGATGCTCGGGGAGGCGCTGCGGCGGGGCAAGGTACGCGGCACTCGGATCCCCGGGAGCGGGGGCCGCCTGGCCGGAGCTGAGCCTGCAGCCCTGGCACCTGTCACCACTCCCCTCCACAGCCCGGAGGCTCTGGTCGGTGTCGCCTGCACGCGTGTCCGCGACCGCGAGTGTGCACGAGCGCGCGCGCGCGCCCGCCCGCGGGAGGCGGACTGGCGGCTGGGGATGCAGGCGCAGACGCCGGAGCAGTGGCAGCCTCGGTCTGCAGCCGAGGACCGACCGGAGCCCCGGCTGTGGGGGGGAAAGGCGGCGGGGGGCGGGCCGGGGGAGGGTCCGCGGGCGGGGCGGGCGGCTCCCCACGCGCCTCCCCACGCACCTCCCCACGCGCCTCCCCGCCGGCCGTCGCCTCGCCGCACCGCGCCATGGTACGTCTCCGCCCCCGCTCCCACTCCGCGCGGGGGCTTTCCTGGGGCGCCGCGCGTGGGGTCGGGCGTGGGGGTGCTGCGGTTTCTGGGAAGAGGGAGAAGGACGGTCCGCGTCTTCCTCCCGCCCTCCCTCCCTCGGGGGCGGAGCCGGGGCCGGGCGCCCAGGGGCCCCCGAGCGCGGCGAGGGTCCCCGGTGCGGACGGCGGGGGTGCGCGAGCGGCTGTGCCGCGCGCCCCTCGCCCTCCCGTCCTCCCCCTGCCCGTCCCCACCCGCGTCCGGGGCTCTCGGCGGCGGCGCGCGCAGCTTAGCGGAAAATGGCCGCTGCCCCGGTCGCCCCGCCCACCGCCGCCGCCGCAACCCCGGCTCCGCGCTCGAGAGGCCGCCGCTCGGCGGGCGGCACGGGTGCGCGTGCGCGCGGGAGGAGGCTCCGGGGCGGTCAGGGCGCCGCAGCCGCGTCCTTGGCTGCTCGAGAGGGGAATCCCCGGGCGATTTTAGCGGCTCCTAGCATCTTCTAAATATAGATCCGCGCGGCCGAGGGCCGAGCCGGCAGTCGCCGCCCCCGGGGCTCGCACCGCGGTAGCAGACGGGCGGGCGCGCACACACGGAAAAGGCTCTCCTGGGGACCCCCAGCCCTGTCACCGCCCTGTCTGTCGTGGGAGCCTGGCACAGGCCTGGCTGGATGGCCCCTGAGCCGCTGCAGAGTGGTGTCCCCGGTAGTGACACCTCGGAGGGTGGGCAAAGAGAGAAGCACTCTGGGAACTTTAGTTCATTCTCGAAACTTTGTTTTGGGGAAAGCTCGGGGCGTGGTCACAATGGAGCCCCAAGACAGAATCCCCCAGCGAGGGGCGTGATCAGTGATGGAGCCCCGCCTAGAATCCCAATGAGGGGCGTGGTCAGGGTGGAGCCCCGCCTAGAATCCCCAGTGAGGGTCTGGGGGCGTGGCCACTGCAGAAGGCCAGAGGTTGGCCCTGGAAGAACCGGAATGCTACAGAAACATCCACAGGCATAGTCTGCTGCCCCTGGAGGGTCCCCACTCACCTCTCTCATCTGCTCAGAGCCCAGTTGTAGCCATTGTGCAAGTCACACAGTCGGTCCTTTATAAAGGATCCGGGCAGACATGTATTCTTTTAAAGTTGCCTGCCTTCCTGGCGGCTCTCAGGCGTCGGCAGCAGATCAGGAGGAGCTCAAGTGACCCTGTCTGAGAAAACCCAACACAGAAAGAAAGTGAAACTCCTCTTTGGTGTTCAGTTCTAAGGCCGATCTGCAGCTGTGGGTCTCAAACAGGGGGGCTGCCCTGGGACTTGTCACTGCCGCTTGGAGCGCTTGGAAGTCAGGGAGTCTGAAACACCCTGTCCCAAACGCCACAGGGCTGAGTTGGCGGCCTACCTGGGTGGCCCTTGGAGGCGTCTCCATAGAACAACCACCTTCCCCAGCTATTCCAGGTTGTCACCTGAGTAGGCTATGGAATGTTTGCCCCTGTTCAGTTGTTGGTGTTAAGGTTCTTTCATTTATTGCTTTTTTTTTCTTTTAATTTTTTGTATTTTCAGACAAGATCTCATTCTGTAGCTCTGGCTGAGCTGGAAATTCACTATGTAAACCAGTCTGGCCTTGAACTCACAGAGAACTGTCTGCTTCTGTCTCCTGAGTGAGGGGAATTAAAGGTGTGCGCCCCCACACCCACCCAGCTTGCTGTTAAGGTTCACATTGGTGGTCACCCCCTCTCAGTGCCTCTGTGTTAGGAACAACAACAAATGTATTTTTTTCTAAGATAACATCAGAATGTGTAGACCAGGCTAGCCTAGAACCCAAAGAGATCTGCCTGCCTCTACCACCTGAGTGTTGGGATTGAAGGTGTGTGCCACCACCGCCTGGCTTAATTTTTATATTTAGTTTTTATTTCTATTCATGTGTCTCTGTGTGCCACTTGGGCAGTAGAGACCAGAAGGGATGCAGGGTGTTCTAGAACCGGACTGACTTCCACGTGGGCCCTAGGAGAGCAGTGGTGCTCTTACTTCTAGGCTGTCTCTCTGGTCACCTCACGTTTTGTTTTTAACAAATGAGTCATGCACTACGATGACTACGGAGGTACAGTCTAGCGTCCACCTGAGCCGCTCGCCACGCCCTCGGCATACTGCCCCCTCACTGCAGGTGTCTCCACAGCCCAGGGCATTAGCCATCCTTGGGGCGGAGCCACACCCCCACACTGCATGTGTGTCGAACCTACTGTGTGCAGTCCTCCGTATGGGGAGATGCCCAGGATGAGCTCACTCAAGCCCAGGCTTTTACATCCATCCACTCTCTGTGGTGGGTTGACTGGTGTTTCTGGGTGCCCCTCATGTGTTGGCTGTTGTTGGGGTCACAGTGACCAGGTGACCCGCTCTGTCCCCGACATTCCTGGGAACTGCCACCCCAGCCAGTGGCTTCCTTCTTTGTGTCTCAGTTTCCTTGGTGTGACATTGATAAGGGCTCAAAGCCTCTTCTTAGGGTCCCCGCCGGTCTCCAGCCATGCTGAGCCTGCGCCTGCTGCATCCCTAGTCCTTGGGTCCTGGAAGAGAAATGGCTGAGAATGTCCCGGTCTTGTAAAAGCACTGTGGACACAGGGGCCTGGCTTGGCCAAATGTCTCCTTCAGAAAGGTGGCCTCTGGCTGGGCATCCCAGGAGGGTCAGCTACAGAGTGAGTTCAAGGCTAGCCTGGGCTACATGAGACTCTGTCTTGGAAGTAGTAATACTGGAGGAAAAATGTGAAATTGGAGTGGGACTTCCTTGTGCCTCAGTTTCCCCATATATGAAATGGGCAGCCTTAGCCAGGCGGTGGTGGTGCACACCTTTAATCCCAGTACTCAGGAGGCAGAGGCAGTCGGATCTCTGTGAGTTTGAGACCAGTCTGATCTACAAGAGCTAGTTCCAGGACAGGATCCAAAGAAATGCTGTTTACAGAGAAACCCTGTCTTGAAAAAGAAAAAAGAAATGGGCAACATAGACACCAAGCTAAGCTTGGGACCTGGCTGCTGGGAGCTCAGGTGGCCTAGGTTATGACACTTGCCCTTTAGCAAGCAATAGTTTCAGCGTCTAGCCTGGGGTCCTGCAGGGCATCTTCCCTGGGGACCCCCAACTACCTCCAGGCCACTTGCTAGCCGTTTAAGGGGAGACCCCCACCCTGCTCCCCTCTTCCCAACTGTCACTGGCTGGCTTGGGGATACAAGTGCAGTATGGGGCAGGGGGGCATAGGGGACATCTGGGGCACAGGTGGGGGTGTAGGGGGCATCTGGGGCACAGGTGGGGGTGTAGAGGGCAGCTGGGACACAGGTGGAGGTGTAGGGGGCATCTGGGGCACAGGTGGGGTATAGGGGGCAGCTGGGACACAGGTGGGGGGGTGTGTAGGGGGCATCTGGGGCACAGGTGGGGTGTGGGAGGCATCTGGGGCACAAGTGGGGTGTGGGAGGCATCTGGGGCACAGGTGGGGTTTGGGGGCAGCTGGGGCACAGGTGGGGTATGGGAGGCATCTGGGGCACAGGTGGGGGTGTAGGGGGCAGCTGGGGCACAGGTGGGGTATGGGAGGCATCTGGGGCACAGGTGGGGGTGTAGGGGGCAGCTGGGGCACAGGTGGGATGTGGGAGGCATCTGGGGCACAGGTGGGGTGTGGGAGGCATCTGGGGCACAGGTGGGGTGTAGGGGCAGCTGGGGCACAGGTGGGGTGTAGGGGCAGCTGGGGCACAGGTGGGGTGTAGGGGGCATCTGGGGCACAGGTGGGATGTAGGTGGCAGCTGGGGCACAGGTGGGGTGTAGGGGCAGCTGGGGCACAGGTGGGGTGTAGGGGCAGCTGGGGCACAGGTGGGATGTAGGGGGCAACTGGGGCACAGGTGGGGCGTGGGGGCATCTGGGGCATGGGTGGGGCATAGGGGGCATCTGGGGCACGAATGGGGCGTGGGGGGCATCTGGGGCACAGGTGGGGTGTAGGGGGCATGTGGGACACAGGTGGGGTGTAGGGGGCAGCTGGGGCACAGGTCAGGTGTGAGAGGCAGATGGAGTGCAGGGGGCATACGGGGGCACAGGTTGGTGGGGAGCCGGGATTCAACCCCATCTTGCCCTGAACCCGGTTGCTGTGTCCTTACAACCCGAGCGCAGATGCACAGATTTGGGGGGACCGGACTAGGGGGTCCGCAGGCTACAGTTTGTTTGTTTGCTGTCGGCGATTTCTTTGAAAGTTGGATGCGGGCGACTGAGAGGGAGCGGGGGCGGGCGGGAGGCGGCGCGGGGCGGAGAGGACGGCGGAGGGAGGAGCGGGAGGGGCGGCTGCAAAAATGACTCAGTAAGTTCGGCGGCCGCTCGGCCTCTGCGCCTCCGGTGCCAGCGCCCCGGGATGTATTCCTCCCCGCTCTGCCTGACCCAGGTACGCACCCCGCGCCCGCTCGGCCCCTGCCCGCACCCCGGCTCCTCCTGGAACCGCAATTTTGCAGACTGGAACCTCCCCTCCGCAGCGGGGGTGGGAAAAAAAAAGGCGCGCGCGTCTTCCTTACCCACCCCCTTCCAGGCCAGGATGTTCCTGGCATGGACCTGGGGTGCGGGCAGCTCTTGAGATAGGGGATCCCCTCCCCATTAAGCTTGGATGTGCACTTGAAACCTCGTATTCTGGACCCCCACTTTGATTTGAATTGCCTAACTGTTCTTGGGACTCTCCCATTCTTCCCCTCCTGGCTGGATGTGTGGGGGAGCTGGCGTCCTCCCCACAGCCCTCACCCTTTTGCCCCCAGGAAGCCTGGGGTCTTCTCCAGATGGAGAAACTAAGTGGGTATCTGCAGAAAGCCCCCTCCCACCCGTGGGACAGATCTTGGGGTTCCATGCTGTACCCATGGGTTCAGTGACTGTGCGGGAACGGGACCCCCGGCTGTTGTTCGCGGGTCCCCAGTTTCCCAGGTGGCCCCCCCAACTGGCCGTGGCCCCCTCCATTTCAGGCCCACGTGTGCGCGGGGGGGGGAGGGGCACACGAAGTTGGCGCGCAGGGGGGAGGGGCGGCCTTGCCAGTGTCCGTCGCGGGTCCCCCCTTCCCTGGCTCAGCCCCCCCAGGTCCGCATTGATTCTTGAATTATTGAGCCGAGCAGTCGCTACCAGGCGGCTGGCGGGAGGAGCAGAGGCCGGGGCTGGAGGAGGAGGAGGAGGTGGAGGCAGGGGACTGGCCCACACTGTGGGCTGCGGACTAGGTGACCAGGCCAGCACCTGCCCCACTGCTCCCCTCTGTCTGGGTTCCAGCATCTGAGGGGATGGGAGGAGGGGGCATATCCATCCTGCCAAAGACCCCTCCAAGGAGCCTCCTAACTGTCTCTGTCCCCTCTGGGATCCCAGGCCTTCTTCCTTTTCCAACTCTACAGCTCTCTTCTGATGTTTTTTTTTTTTTTTTTTCTGTATGACTCCAGCCTCGGTTTCCCCCGAGAGAGAGAGACAGACAGACAGACAGACATAGTGGTCTCCAAACTGTTAAGTATGATGCTGGAGGATTGTGATTGTCCAGTGTCCTGAGAAGTTTGTAGGGGACTCAGTTGTTTTTGCCAGGGAAGGCCCAGGTGGATGGTTTCAAGAACAAGTTCTCTGGGGTCCCCTGTTCCTGCCAGGTTCTACTTGGCAGGTAATAGAGTTCTTCAGTCCCCAGGGGAAGCCCCTGGACTGAGGGAACCCCAGCCTGCCCTATGTAGGGTTCCCTGGTGACCTTGGTTAAATGCCTGCCCCTCCGCAGACCTCAGCTTCTATTTCAAGCCAGATTTGGGGAGGGGGCACCCCTACAGCCTAGGGCAGGCATCACTTGGTTGCTGGCCAGACCGACAGTTGGGATGGGATTGCTGTGTGTCCCTGGGCAAACTCTGAGGTCTCTGTGTTGACCGTTGGGCTTGGTGGCTGAGAAGCCTGAGGTAGACGTGGCCGGCTGGAAGGCCGCCTGGGCACGTGGAATTCCCCATCCTGGCCTTCTGGAGTCCGGCCTGCGTCCAGGTTGCTGCTGGGAGCTGGGGGTGGGGGCAACCCCGGTGCTGGCTCCTGCCCAGGGAACTTGCTGTGTGGCCTTGGCCTCAGTTTCCCTTGTAGGAGGGTGTGGGTTGGACAGGGGTGGAGGGGCAGCCTAGGGTAGCAGGCGAGAGAGGAGAGGACAGAGGCAGAACAAGATGGAGGGCATCCCAGGCTGCTTTGGGTTTGGGGTCCCCCAGCCCTATGATCTTACTACTCTCCTGCCCTGGGGGAATACTGAGACTTCCTAGAGTCCCCTGAGCCCCAACTGTGGTCTCTCCCTCTCCACTCAAGCCCAGTCTGGGCAGGAGTCTCAGAAGAACCCCAGAAGCAATGCTGCAGTCCCCCGACACCCCCCCCCTCCCGGTCTCCGTGTCTGCCTTGACCTGTCTCTGCCTCTCTGTCTCTGTCTCTCCTCACCCAGCCCTCTGAATCGGCTAATTTTAAGCCAGGGTTCAGCCTGAAATAACTCCTTTCTGATCTAACCGGATCCTACCGGGATCCTGACCCGGGGCGGGGTTGGCCCTGATGTCAGCCCTGGTGCCAGGGCTACCAGGTGCCCGGGAGGATTCTGGGAGCCCCCGTGGGTCCCCTGTCCCGTCTGTCACTCTGGGCAGTGACTCAGGCCCCTTTTCACTTTTACTCTCTGGAGGAATCAGCCGTTACTTCCATGAATCCCAAGCTGAAGCGGCCTCCCCCTCCCAATCCCTCCCTCCTTCCCGCCCTCCCTCCCCACGTTAGTTATTCCGGGTTTGGGGCCAAATCCCTGTTGGCTGAGGTTGAGGATTCCCTGGGCCTGGGCTGAGGCCACCTCCCTCCTTCATTCATTCCCTCCTCATGGCTTCGCTCTCTCTGCTACCATCCTGGCAGTGGGGAAACTGAGGCAGCACACGGCACCTGACAATCAGGGTTCTGTTCCTGAGGGGGTTGGGGGCGTCAGAGAGGGTGAAAACCGGCCCGGTACAGCACGGTATGGGCTTGGTTCCAGTGTGTCCCCGAGTGGACTCCGGCGATAGCGCTGTCTCCGTCCCCGACGCCCCCTCCTCGCTGCAGAGAAGGTGCCTCTGCCTGGGCCGAGGCCTGTAAATCAGGGTGCTGGATTCTGGCGAGTCAGCGTTCTGGCCTCTCCCGCTGCAGCCGCTGCTCCCTCTCCGGCTCTTCCTGCCGCCCTGCACCAGACAGGGGAGCCTCCCGCTCCTTCCTGTCCCCTCCCGCAGAACTCCGTGCAGCCCCCCTCCTCCCGGGTACACAGGGACCCGCCGCCACCGGTCAGCTGATTTACCCCCACCCCCGTGTCCCCAGAAATGCGGGAATGGGAGCCCCTCACATCAGCCCAGAATCCCGGTGACATATGGCCTCAGTTTTTTTTTTTTGGAGGGGGTATTTCTTATGTACTACTAGGGCATGACACACAGTAGGAGCTCAATAAGTGCTATCAGACATAGGTGAAGGCATACAGTAGGCATTCTATAAATGTTCATTGCTTAGTAAATGGCTGTTAATGTGTCATCTCACACAGAACAGGGGAGACAGGATAGTGTCCCCCGCAGACAACCACACCCATTGTCCAGAGCTAGGTAAACAGTAAGCACCTAATAAATGCTGCTGCCCAGGCCTGTGGCTTGGCCGGTAGGCATTTCATAGCTTCCCTTCACCCTGTCAGTTAAGTGACACAGACTTGAGGTGGGTGAAGGCACACAGTGGTGACCCCCAAATTTTAGGGCACATGTGGAGGTCAGAGGTCACCCATAGGCAGAATTTGAACTCTGGTCCCGGTGCTTCCACACTGGCAACCCACACACACACACACACACATACACTTACAACTCAGTCTTAAGTCTGACCAGCCCCTGGCAGCTGCAGGGTTTGATAAGTTAGGGTGCCTGTGTGGGGTGAATTGGAAGAAGGCAGGTAATATAAGATTCACCAGGTATGGTGGCACGCACCTGTGACTTTGGTATTCAGGAGTCGGAGGCAGGGGGATTATCATGAGTTTGTGACCTCGGACCGAGTAGAGGATCCACAGGGAGCTGGGTGAGCGTGGGGACGGGGCATAGCCCTCCCTGTCTTCCCCAACTCCTCTGCCACCCACTGCTCCACGCAGGACCTCTGCACTGGCTGGCGGAGAGTAAGTGCAGGATGGGTCCCCTGGGGACCTGGTGAGAGCTTGCCACAGGCCCCACGCTCTGAGTGCGGACCAGGAATCTGGAGTGTGGGGGTAGACATGGCGGGATCTCAGCTGCGTGGTCACTTGTGTGAGGAGGACTGTGGGTTCAGATGGCCCTGGACCCCCCAATTCAGAGGGGAGGGTGGGAGTCACAGGACTGGCTCAGCAAGCAGCAGTGCAGGGGCCCGGTTGTGGGAGCGGTCTTGTCTGATACCCTCCTTGGCTGGGAACGAGGGTGGCCACATAGAAGCTTGAGAGAAAAGCTGCATGAAGGAGGGGGCCCTGGGGACAGGGCGTCTGGGCTGTGGAGGGCTCACTGGGCTCTTGTGCAGGTGTCCTGGCTTTGGCTGGTCTTGTGGGACAGAGAGCCTGGGCCTGCCGGGCCAGCAAGGACAGGGAACATGACCAGCAGGTCTGTGACCCAGTCACTGCTGTTTACCCTCCTACCTTGCTGACCAGCCGGGGCCACCAGTGACGGTGCTGTGGGTGCAGAAACAAATGGGACTCGGTGACAGGGGTGCTCAGGGTGGATTGGATCTGGGTCGCAAAGCCCCCACTGGCCCCCACAGTGCCGCCCAAGCCCCTCCACCCCCCTGAGGTCTGTGTGACCTGGTTCCTTCCTGTCTCTGATTTCACAGGTCAGTTACCATCCTGACCCACGAAGAGGCTCCATGAGCCTAGCCCAGTCCCCCATCTTCTCCCCAGACTCGCAGCCAGCATGGGGGAGGGCAGGAGCCCCCGAGGTCCAGGCCACAGCTGTTCAGTGACTCACACCTCAGAGGACATTGGCCTGGGGGACGGGGTGGCCCGGCCTGGCCTCCTCTGTCTCACCCGCTATTTTCAGAGGTTTGGTAATAGGTGGCACCTGGCATCCTGGCTCTGGGGTGCGGGGCAGATGCAGTCTTGGGGGGTGAGCCTGCTCAGTGAACTGGGGGGTCCAGAGGAGACCCCCTGATTCAGAACTATCATCAGAAGAAACAGACCAGCCCCCTGTGGCCTGTCTACTTGAGGCCGGTGGGGACCTCGGGCAGATCTTGGCAAGGTCTGAGCCTCAGTTTCTCCATCACACCACAGGTAGCGGAGCTCTGAGGGTGTACCCCTCCACGTGATTATGTGGCTCCTGTCCCAGATGTCGCCATCCCCCCAGCAGGGAGACAGAATTTTATTTTCCCTCACATCCCCTGTGACGCTGAGGGTCCTCTCAGTTTTTCCTGGTGGACACTGCGAGCCTCAGGATGACCCCTCCCATTCAGGGAAAGACACCCCGTGCTGCTCCCAGGATGGCAGAGGAAGTCTGAGGGCACCCCCCCCCACTGTCTCCATAGGGGACACACGTGGACCTGCGGCTCTCACATGGTTTGGGCACTAGTGTTGGCTTGGCCCTGCCCTGTGCAGCTGGGGACCCCTGTAGCTGGCATTTGGGGACGCTTTGTGTCAATAAAGCTTTATTGTAAGCCACCTGTGCTGTCGCATTTCCCTGGCACACATCAAGGCACTGGCCTCAATCTTAGACAGTCTTCCCAGAACCTCATCTTCCCATAGGGGACATGAATGTCCCCGGTGTCCCAGCTCCGTCGTTTACTGGGAGCTCTGGTTGCCTGTCTAGGGCTTCATCTCTAGACCCCCCCCCCTCCATCTGTGGTAGGACAGTCTGGGCCTGAGGTTCCCCACCTGGGCAGCGGGTCCATCCGGCCCTGGGCCTGTTTCCCCACCTGGGCAGTGGTTCCGAGTGTACCCGGCTTCAGTTATCCCGCCTTTCCGCAGGATGAGTTCCACCCGTTCATCGAGGCGCTGTTGCCGCACGTGCGCGCCTTCGCCTACACGTGGTTCAATCTGCAGGCGCGGAAGCGCAAGTACTTCAAGAAGCACGAGAAGCGCATGTCCAAGGACGAGGAGCGCGCGGTGAAGGACGAGCTCTTGGGCGAGAAGGCCGAGGTGAAGCAGAAGTGGGCATCCCGGCTGCTGGCCAAGCTGCGCAAGGACATCCGGCCCGAGTGCCGCGAAGACTTCGTGCTGGCTGTGACCGGCAAAAAGGCACCAGGTTGCGTGCTGTCCAACCCTGACCAGAAGGGCAAGATGCGGCGCATTGACTGCCTGCGCCAGGCTGACAAGGTGTGGCGCCTGGACCTGGTCATGGTCATCCTGTTCAAAGGCATCCCGCTGGAAAGCACGGACGGCGAGCGGCTGGTAAAGGCGGCCGCGTGCGCGCACCCGGTGCTGTGCGTGCAGCCACACCACATCGGCGTGGCCGTCAAGGAGCTGGACCTGTACCTGGCATACTTCGTGCGTGAGCGTGGTGAGTGTGGGGGGCACACGTGGGGCGTGGGGGCATGGGGGCGGGAGCCGGGTTTGGTCGTGAAGGGGACGTGGCCGTGACTGGGTGTAGCCTGGTCAAAGGCGTGGTCAGAGTCAGAGGAGCTGGACCACGGCCATGGTCAGGGGTGGGACCATGTTCAGGGTCATCATCAAGAGCTGGGCCGTGGTGAGGCCATGATCATTGTCAGGGACATCGTAATGTGGTGGTGATCGCAGTTAGGAGCTGAGCCATGGTGTGGCCAGTGTCATGGTCAGGTTCAGGATCATTGTCACAACAAGGTCATGTTTAGGGGCATGGTCAGGAGCTGGCCCGTGGTCACTGAGGGGTAGGTCCATGGGCTGGGGCAGGGTCTGTCAGGGCCGTCAAGGATCAGCAGCGTGGATGCCTGTCCTTCCTAGTGGAGCTCAACGAGCACAGCCCTGCTCAGACCTGGGGGAGGAGCAGCCAAGAGAGAGGGCTAGCCTCCACCCGATTGGGCCTTGGCACTTGTGGAATGTGGGGCTGTGACCATGGTGTCCACAGACCTGATTGGCCTGGATCTGAGCAATGCTGACCTGGAGGTGGGAAGGGGGCGGGGCCAGGCTATGGATCTGCTTTGAATAGGAGCTGGAAGTTAAGGACCCAGGCCAGGGGATGTGGCCCTACTTGTGGGCAAGCGCGTAGCCATGCCCCTTCTTACTTCAGACTGCTGCTGAATGGGAGGTGCCTTTCATGTGGGCGGGGCCGACAATGGCTCCACCCACTTCCGTCTTCTGCTGAATAGGAGTCCCAGGGAGCCAAGTCCGTGGGGTAGTCTGGCAGGACTCAGGCAGAGGCAGGGGGATGGCTGTGAGGTGGACAAAGGCCCGTGCTCCACCTGAGAGTCAGCCACGCGAGTCATCTGCGCACCAGGGTTCCAAGAACCCAGGCAGCACCCAGGCAGATTGCCCGGTGATAGCCCATCAGAGAGGACAGCCCTGGCCGGGTGGGTCACTGCTGGCTGGGTGGATCCACCTCTTCTCTGTACCTCAGTTTCCCCCACCAGTTGAGAAGTCCCCAATGTCACACAGAGTAGAGCCAGTCGGGCCTCTCCCAGCCCTGACCTTGAGTCTGGCTGCAGGTGACCTTAGCCTCTGGCCCAGTCCCTCCCCCACCTCCCGCCAGCCCCCAGCTGTGTGGACCAGTGGGTCAGAGGCTGTGGGTGACCACCGTGGGCAGGGGCAGGGTGTGGCCTGGAGGTCCTGGACTCAAGGGTATCCAAGTCCCCATTGTTACCCCTCACCCCCGCCCCGCCTCCTTGGAGCTGAGCTGATAAATTTTCAAAGGCACTTTCTGCTGTGTCAGCACCATTTTCCCTGCATCTCCCTCCCCCACCCGCCTCCTCTGCCCAGCGGCAGGCAAGGCCTCTAGGCCTCCCTGAGATGCCTTCCCACGGGTCACCCTGGTCAGCCACCTGCGTCCCTGGAGGCTGGGACAGCCAAGGTTGGCCAGTCCTATAGCTCCATTGCCAGTTGGCTGTGTGAATCCTGTCTGTACTTAATTTCTGTATCTATAAAAGAGGAAGCTCACACATAGACTCCAAGGGAGTTGCCAGGAATCCTTCAAAACAAAAAGCAAAACCTACCCAGATGAAGATGCAGCCATCCCAGACCAGGGAGGCCATCACTGCCTCAAGCCTCTGCCTTTGCCGGCTGTTCCCGTTTCCCAGAAAGCTTTTCCCTAGGCGAAAATCCTGAGTGAATTTAAAACCCTGACTCGAAAAAAAAAAAAAAAAAAAAAGCAACCCTGACTCGCAGCTCCACCTCCGTCCATCAGACATTTTCTGGAGGTCTTAGGTTGCTCTGTAGCTCAGCCAGGCCTCCTGCCCCGGTTCCCATCTCGGCCACGATGTCCGGCCAGGGAGGCAGAAGCCAGAGGGTCAAAAGAGAGACCAGCTCTATCCCAGACAGCCTAGCCTGAGCCACCAGCGCCCCTACCCCCAGCCCGGGCACCGAAAGTGGAGTCTCTGTGCCCATCTCTGAGGTCCCAGTGAGGTCCCTGAGAGACACCACCCTGAGCCCTGTCCCCCAGTTCCTCAGGTCGGTCCCAGCTCATCTGGCTTCTGAACCAGCAGTTGGGGAGTGAGGGATGGGGGAGGCTGCCCTTGTCCCCCTCCTGCCTCAGGGGTCCCCAGGATGGGGGTCTCTACCTGTGATGCTTAACATAGGGGTGGCAAGCTTGGATTGAGCTCTTGAGGGGCACAGGGTCAGTGTTAGGGGTTTGATGTGAGACCTCTGAACGGTGAGGGTGCAACAGTTTAAATTAGTGAGGGGCTGGCCCTGGGTTCTGTCCTCGGAACCCTGGAGGTCGGGTCTAGCCTCTGCTACGTACTAAGTTCAAGGCTGACCTTGTGTCGGAGGAAGAAGTGGGTTAGCAGTGGAGGAAGTGGAGAGAGCACACCAGGCTGGAGGGGTGCTCAGGGACTGCAAAGATTCTGGGGTCACAGGAGCCAGGGAGATAGAGGAGACTGGGGTGCCGGGGTGGAGGCCAGTGGCAGGCGAACGCAGCCCAGGCTCCCAGGCTTGGCCTGCTTTCGGGAAGGAGTCTGGGAAAGCTGGGCCGAAGGAGAGGCGGCTGCCAGCCCGCCGCCCTGCCCCCCCTGCAGCCCGCGAAACCCAAAGCGCGGGCGGGCACTGTGCCAGGGGGGGAGGGGTGCCAGGCCCGCCCAGGCCGGCAGCTGCCAACCCAGATGGTGCCCATGTGCTCGCCATGGCCGGACTCCCTTCCCGCCAACAGCCACAGGGACAGCGTGGTGGCCCCAACAGGACCCAGAGTGGGAGTGTGGTCTCCTTGGGTGCCAGGAGGTGGGGGCTGTGCTGCCAATGTTGGAATTAGGGCCTGGAAGGGCTCACCCCTTCCTCACTGGGGGATTCTAGGCTGGACTCCACCCTGACCACGGCCCCAGACCCTCACTGGGGATTCTGGGCGGGGCTCCACCCTGACCACGCCCCCAGCCCTTCTCTGGCCCAGTCTTTCCCATCTTTAGGGGAGGGGTCTTTGAAGCACAGATGGTGTCTTTCATGTCACTGGCTTTCTAAGAGACAGAGCTGCAACCCTAAAGAACACAAACTCCTGAGAAAAAATCAACGAACAGCCCATTCACATGTCCTGTGTTCCCCAGGGTAGAGACAGGTGGAGGTCTGAGGTCAGGGCCAGCCTGGGCTACAGAATGAGACATCTCTAAAATGCCCAGGCTGGGCTCACTCCATTCCGGATTCTTGAACCCCTATGTCCCCACTAGGAAGCAAGGTGGCCCAGGGGCTGTGAGGCCGCAGGTGTCTGGAGGGGAAGGGGAAGGGGGACGCCGCGGCCTAGTCATGGCCACTGATCCCAGCGGACTGCAGAGACAGATGGGCAGTCATGGTCGTCCATCCTCCCCTTGGTGGCGCTGCGCATCCCTGGGCAGGTGGCCGGACTGCATGCTGTGCAGCCCCGGGGAATCCTGAGGAGCATCTCTGGTCTCTGCCACTTCCTTGCTAAGAAAGGTGTCAAATACTATCGCGCCTGCGGCGCCGCCGCTCATACTGGCAGCGTCGGGCAGGCCACTCTGGGGCTCCGAGTCCTTGTCCCCTGCACCGTGCCCGCCGCAGTTGGCTGGGAGCGGATCAGGACACATCTCCGACCCCTACACAGCTGGCCGCAGCCATGCGTGGGGCTTTGAGGAGGATGGGCAGGACCCGTCTGTGGACATGGGGAGTCATGACAAGATGGGGAAACTGAGGCCCCGAAAACTCCATCTGGCCTCATTTGGGTTTTTGGGCAGGGTCGCATGTAGCCAGGCTGGACTCAAATGTGCCACTTGGCTGAGGATGGCTCAGATTCCTTGTCCCCTGCCTCAGCCATACAGAGGGAGGACCCCTAGACCAGCGCTGATGTCCCATCCTCTGGTGGGAGCCATACAGAACACTGCCCCCGCACGTTCTGGAACATCCCACACCGGGTTCTGGACCATCCCGAATGGGCTAAGCCGCAACTGCGGGTTTTGGCATGCGGAGGACCCACAGCCCCTCCAGCTTGGTGCTGATGGGCAGATCGGTGGCAGGACTTCCCACAAGGTCTACACCCTGAAGGCTGAGGCAGGAGTGTGGTCGTGAGCCCCTGTTGGAATTCGCTAAGCGCCGACTTGTCTACACTGCCACAGACAGGGCAGTTATCACACTTAATCCTCCTGAGGGCTGAGGCTGGGAACCGAGCCCAACAGGTAGGATTCGAACCCACAGCTCAGATTCCCAGGGAGTTCCCAGAAGCACCTCAGCCCCTCGGGCCTAAAAGCTGGTTCGGTGGTGGAAGTTTGGGATTGGGGGTCAGCAGTGAGGGTGCAGAGGCGGGGGTGCAGGGCTCAGCGTCTGACTCCAGGTGTCCATCTGTCCTCATGCCCAGTCTGCCCGCCAGGGCCCGCCCCCTGCTCTCCCTTCCCTTCCCTTCTCCTCCCCCCTCCTCCTCTCCCTCCCCCCCCCTTCCGAGCTGAATGGGCCCCTTGTTCCCGGCCACACCCTCCCCCGGGGTCACTCTGGGACAGACTCAAGCCGCAGACCGCCTTAAAGGGCCAGCGTCAAGATGGGCGCCCAGAGGCTCAGGGTGGCCAAGGCCCCACCCCAGACACGTGGGGGGTGGGGAGTGGGCGGAGCTCCAGATTCAGTGCAGTAATAGGACACCTGCTGCTTCCGGATGCTTTAGCTTGCGGGGTGCTTTAGGCCCCCTGTTTCACTTCCTCTGTGACTCAGTTTCCCCTCTAGAGAGCCAGAGGGCAGTCCGTCTATGGAATGTAGAAGAGGCCTAAAAGGTCACCACATGGCAAGGGTTGCATTTTTTGAGTACCTACTGTATACCAGGCCCTGCTGAGAGAGGTGCAGAGCACGGAGGGGGGGTCATGGTGCCCTGAGGAGGCGCCCAGGGGTGGCCGGTCAGGTCAGTGCTGTGCAGCCTCGGGCTACACGCATACCCTCTCTGGAAGTCAGTTT